AAGATGAAGATGAAGATGAAGATGAAGATGAAGATGAAGATGAAGATAAGGATAAAAATCATAACCCCTTAACTTTAACTCATCTTAACTTAAAAACTTACTCCACCTGAGCTCACCACACATTAATTCACCACACTTTAACTCCCCACACCTAAATTCACCACACCTCAACTCGCCACACCTTAACCCCCGCACCTAAATCCACCACCCCTAAATCCACCACCCTTAATTCACCACACCTCAATTTTCTCACCACACCTTAACTCACCTCAACTCACCACACCAAAATTCACCACACCTTAATTCACCACACCTCAACTTTCTCACCATAACTTAACTCACCACACCTGAATCCACCACACCTAAATTCACCACACCGTAACTCCTACACCCAATTCCACCACACCGCAGCTCACCACACCCAATTTCACCACATGACATGATATCACTTGATGTGGCATCAAAGGCAACATCATTTGGCATAAAATGAACCAAAATAAATAAGATTTAGATAGAGGTGAAAAAAGGGATAAAAAGGAAATACAACTGAAGAGTGTGCGATGTTATATTGTGGTGTGTTATGCTTCATATGTTATGTTATTTATTCTTATGTTATGGTTATGTTATACCAAGTACTAAGCTAAACTCCCCTCCACTTAACCTATTCCAACTAATGTTATTTTAGCTCATTCAACTTACATAAACTATTCTTAATTTTATCGGTTGAATTTCAACCGCTGGGCGAACACTAGTACAAATAAATTGAGTTTATTCATTATATGGAAGCCAATACGACAAAAAAAATTCTAAAAAATTAACGGTAATTCGTAGCCACTTGACATTTGCACATTATCAGACTAAAATTGCAGTGGCTAAAAAACTGTGTACTCGAAAAAATTCTAACACTTCCGAGAAAAAAGTTTGAAACTTAGGTGAAAATTTGTTGCACTTTTTTGAAGTTTTCTACAAATTATTAAACTTTGGTTTATATGGGGTTTATTAGAGAAAGGACTGTATTTTAATTGAAAATTCTTAAAAATAAATAAATAAACATAATTGGCACACAATATCACTTTGAAATGGCGTGCTATAGATATGACCGATACTGTATGTACATTAGGCTGCCGCACCAAAACAAATTCGCTTTTACTACCGGAATTATGAAACGTATTACATATTTTTAAAAACTTCCGCCAAAATATTAAGTCGAACATACGTGAGCTGGACCGATTTGAAGGAGACTTCGAAAAATCGAGTTTTTATATAAAATAAATGTGTTAAACAAATAATCCAAAACATTGCCTCAGATGATAGAAGAGTTTCAGCTTGATATGTCTGCATATAAATGTTTAAAATATTTATCAACGCATTTAAAATAATGAGATTTTTGAAGGCATTTTCAAAGTGTTCCAGCTAACATACATCTTAAAAATTTTCCGAAATAGTATGGCAAAAGTCATAAAATATAAAAAATTGTGTAATTCCCATGGAAAAATAATACCGATTTTTTATTTTAAGGCGAGTGGTGCGCCCTAATGTACATACAAATTTCTGTATATAAATTTATGTACATAGAATTATAATAGCTGTCTAGGGTCATAACATTTCACTTTAAGCATGAAGTAACTAATTGAAGGTTTAAACTGAATGAGACTCGAATAAAAAACTGTGATTTT